GCCTCTCTCTTTTCTCCATCTCTGCCTTTTTTAAAGTCATCGCTGCCTTTCTTGCCATGCATCTGATAGATTAAAAAAACCTCAGAAGAGCAATTAATCAAAGTTTCTTATCCCCTCGTCATCCCCGCTCATCACAGCAGAGAGCTAACACTGAATCATGACCTCTAAATGTTTCATCCTGGTGCTGCTTTAATTGTTTGCCACCACCTGCCAACAAAAACTTTCTTTGAAAGTTATCAGAGACTTTCTAAGTGATGTTGGGGTGTACAGAGGAGCAGAGACTCTTTTCCCAGATCATTAACATTGCTTCAGTGACCTTTCTGTTTGATCAGGCAGGAGAAAATGTACGATACGCAGGAAAGAGGATGACATTCAGTAAGAGTGCAGGTGTGGGACTTCCTGTCATACTGCGACAAAGCTGAAAGGATAAGAAATAACACAGAACTTTTAAAGTGAAAAGCTCCAAGCAATGATAAGATGTGCTTGAATGTTTAAATGAAAGTTGATGGGATGTCAGTGATTTTCACAAACAGAAATCTGATCATATCTAAGGAGAGGGGTGTTTCCTTCTTCACAGACGCTGGCTTCCAGAAAGCACAGTTATCAAGAGTCTCAATTTGTAGTTGAGCCAATGCATGGAGCTGTTAATTGACTACATTTGATCCAATGTGTTGACAGTCAACTTGATGCCAGCTTTCACTTCTTAAAATGGAGGCATACAGCAGCTCAGGCTGTCCTTGGGATACTGACACAAAAGCAACTTGTTAAGCTGTAATGCAAATACCGGTTACCATCTGTTATCTATACCTGCTGTCCACAGGGCCATGTGGGGCTTAAGTAATATTGTTTGTCTATAATTTGTTTACTGAGGCACCTTGATAGACTAGAAAGAGCTTGTCTTTGCAGTGAGATGTGAGAGTCTGTAAGCACATACCGTATCCCAGTTCAGTTGGAAATTCTAACATGGAGAAGCAAAACAGCAACCACTGTTTTCTCTCCTTCCCTTTTAAAGCTCCCATCAGGTACCCTGGAGCAAGGCACTCCAGCACCAGCTGCTGCAGAGCAGCCAGCGGAGAAACCCAGGGGCGGAGCTGTGTCGGTGTGAGGCGCCGCCGTGCTAAGAAAACCTACTCAAAGCTTTAAAAAAAGCATTGCCTCACACTGGATGAACGAGGGTAGACGACAGCAGGAACTGGAGTGTTGTGCAGCTGGATAATGTGGTATTCATGCTCTGGATATGTGTCTGTTGTTTTCATCTTCAAAGGACTTGAAATGTTTTTCTCCATTTGCCTCTTTTTGTCCCTCCTTCCCATCTGCTGGAGAGAATTACCCCATATTAAAATCTTTTAGAAATAACCACAGCCAGCTGAGTAACAATTGAAGCCATCTGAAATGATTTAATTAGTTCCCAAAGAATTAACTTAGTGTCCGAACTTGAAAGTGATTAGTGAAAATGCCTTTAGAAGAATACTTTCTGTAAATGCTATAGTTATTTCATATTCAGTATTTAATATTCATATGTATTAACTCGATGCCATATTAACACAGTACAGATTAGCCAGTGTAGCTAATGCAGTAATAATGACTTGACAATGGGACCCGGCAGGAATTAAGTGTAGCACGAAGTACTTAAACAGAGGTAACACATTCTCCACAAAAGTAGTTAACATAAAAATGAGCTTTTTCTAAAAGCAATCATATAAAGTCAAACAGATACTTGCAGCTTTTAATGAGCAACTTGCTCTGTTGCTCTTGTTCTGAGTCATTGTGTTTACATTCTTATATTTAGAACAAAGGTCCTCTCCAGACACAAAGATTTCATGCCCTCTTTACTCTCCTGGTCTCTCTTGGCCTCTCCCTGAAAGTTACTCTCCACCCCTTAATGTTGTCACATTTTTAAATGAGCTGGAGATGAAACAAACTAATTATCCATGCTGATCTACGGTGCACGCTCCAGACTCCAAATGATTATTTACAAACCTTGTGAATTTGAGTTTGTAGAGGGTTTTTGTTTTTTTTTAGTAACATGATGAAGAAGGGAACTTTCATTTTGGTTGTAGGAATATATTTTTATTTGACCAGACACAGTGTTGCCCTGTTGTTATCCCTAATTATTGAGTTTTTGATTATTGACTTTGTGAAATCCATTATAACTAGGCACATACAGCTCGTCACTTAAGCCATACAGTAGTAACTTACCAGCAAAATATCATATTGTATATAATCAAACTTTGGCTTTTCCCTTCATGGCTTATGTTGATGTTGCTAGACTAAAGCCTGCAACCTCATTAAAGCAGATAACAACTTATCCACCTACAGGCTCATGTATGCAAAACACAGGGGACTGTAGACACATGCTTCTGTACACACATGCACGTGAGACACTGAAACAGTGAACTCCATATTGCTTTTCTTGTGGCTGGATTAGTATGTACAGGCAGACCAGTGTGTTGCAGTTAGCATCCTTTTTTCTGCACCGACTGCCTTACTGTCCTTTGGGGGAAGGTTGGTCCTCCCCATTCCCTACTGAGCTTGTGTGTTCTTGCAGGGAGTGAGAAGGTCACTAGAAGCCAAATATTGACTCTGTACTTATTCTACACACACGAGTTGGCTGCCTGGAATACGTTGTTACACAATGTTTGGTAGCCAAACATAACGTCTTCACAGCCAGTCACTGGTTTTTATGTATATCTCTCGTTATGTTGCTTGGTTGTACCATATGCCAAATCACTTCAATGAAAACTACTTATCTCTAATAATCTCATTGTTCACTTTGGCTTTGTTAGTAAAGAACCTGCTAGTACAGATGTAGGCATCCAAAGTGTCGTACTTTTTCCACTCTGTTCTATTTGCTCTACACCATCAGACTCGCTGATGACCTTAGGGGTGTTCTACTTCATTTTGTCCTTTTCTGTTTTGGTTTGAAAGTATCTCTAGACATAGAAAAATGACAGGGCATCGTCTACGGTCACGCACATTTGCACATATGTGTACAATGAGACACACACACACACAGGAATATAATTCCAATGGGTGTATCTCACTGGAGGACACATATGCCTTCATACACCCTCAGTTTCTTGGAGATTCACTCCAGCTGTAAAATGATGTACAGTAGTATAGAAGTGGTGGGGGTTCCCCGCTTCAGCTCTGGACGGTTCATTACCTGACTCACACATGTGTATGCGTCTTTCTGTCTCTGTAAGGACACTCATTGACATAGTGCATTCCTGGAGGCCTAGCCAAATCTTAACCATTAGACCTCAGTGCCTACACCTAACCTAAACCTGGTTCTAACCTGAACTCTAAAACCAAGTCTTAACTCTTAAAAAGCCCTTTGAAATTGTGAGGATCAGCTAAGATATCTTCACTCCCCAAAAATGTCCTCACTGTGTTGGTAAAAACTTGTTCTGGTTCTCACTATATAGTAACCATAAGAACACACACACTCTCACATTTAGACACACACACACGGATGCACAAAGTGACCCCTAGAAAGAATTCATTCATTTTTATGCCCCCTCCCACCTCATGGATGTTTATTTGTTTTCCAGGCCATTAGGTTAGCAGCTTTTCAGGGCTCTAGCCTTTTTTAGGGCCACTCTCAGCTTTAAAAACTGTAGCATTGATTGGTTTTCATGCAGAAGTGATAGTCCGCTTGAAATCACTACAAAAACGGAGACTGAAATTTTGCCTGGAAACAGTTTTCAGTGTAACCTATGAATGCAATCAGAAGTGATGCACATGTGTCATAAAATGTTGCTTTTCCATTTCAACCTCAGTTTAGAACAAAAACAACTAAAG